GGAAGGATTAATGAACGCACCGGCAACATTCCAGAGAATGATGAATGTATTGCTGCGCGGGCTGCTAAATGTAGAGATGCTAGTGTACCTCGACGACGTAATAGCTTATGCTAAGAACCTTCATGAACATGAAGTGAAGGTTGGTAAACTTTTTGAGAGACTATCGGATGCGGGACTAGTCCAACAGCTCGACAAGGTGAATTTCCTTTGTAGGGAAGTAAAATTCCTTGAGTATATTGTAAGTGGTCGAGGAGTCGAGCCAGACCCTAAACTAGTCGAAGCTGTAATGAAGTTCCCAAGGCCAAAAGGAGTGAGGAGTGTTAGGTCTTTTCTAGGACTGTCCGGATACTATAGGCGATTTATTCAAGATTATTCGAAAATTGCCAAACCCCTCAGTGATCTTACCAAAAAAGGACAAGAATACGATTGGGGACCTGCACAGGAAGAAGCCTTTGAAACACTAAAAAAACTCCTATGTGTAGCCCCGATTCTAACATTTCCGGACTTCAATAAACCATTTACGCTAACTACAGACGCCTCAGATTACGCGATTGGAGCGGTACTTTCACAAGAAAAAGATGGAGTCGAGAGGCCTGTAGCTTATTTGTCAAGACTGCTAAGTAAACCCGAAAGAAATTATACGACCACTGAGAAAGAGTGTATCTCAGTTTTATACGCGATGAATCAGTTCCGGCCATATCTCTTATGCAACAAATTCACGCTGGTCTGTGACCATGAACCTTTGAACTATATGCATATACGCAAGGATCCTGGACAACGCCTTATGAGATGGATGTTCAAGTTTACGGATTACCAATACACCTTCAAGTATAAGACGGAAAAATTGAATTGTAATGCCGATGCACTGTCAAGGAACCCGGTAAATTTACAAGAATACTTGGATGAAAAGGAACAAAAAGAGAAAGAACTGAATGAAAACATACCGAAAATTCAAGTAATGATGCTGAAAAACAAAGTGACTAAAAGGAAAGTCACTAAAGAACAGACCTAAGAAGATCCAGAACAACCGGTAGCGATACGAAGAAGAGCGCATAACATATCCAACGAGCCTAGACCGAAAGGCAGGCCAGTAGGGGCCAAAACGAATAAAGGAAGACCACAGCTGGATCATAGCACCGTAGCAGAAAGAACGAGAAGTAAAAGGCCTGTGCCTAGGACCTCGAAATATACTAAGAATGTTCGCCCAAATGCCACCAATACCGAAATACACGAGAAAACCTGGGGGCCAGCCGATAAAGAAAAGATGCGATCGAAAAGAGTCCAAGAGTTAAAGAATTACGAAGCGGAACTTTCCACAAACGACTCAAGTACAGAACCCATCGAGGAGACCCAACAGAGAAAACAACTGACCAACCAAAACTATGAGTCCGTGGCAAATACTTCCGGAATAGAAATAGTTGTAAATAAAAATGCAAATGAGGACGAGAAACGAAAGCCGGCTCGTCCTAAATTACATTGGCGCGTGCAAGAAATTTTAAATCGATTGGACCAAGAGAGCGAAAGCTCGATTATGTCAGACTCTGAGCCGGATGTGAGCGAACTACGGCCCGGTTCCTCGAGACGTTCTGTGATATCCTCTACTGGTGTAGGGGATAGGGACGCGAAAGAAGCTCATGACAGTACAGACAACCGGCCTCCCATAGAGAACCCGCGATATAGCGGACTAAGAAGAGGTAAAGATACGGAAATAGAAGCGAGTGAGGATCAAGAATCCTAAACGAAGGGTCCGAAGATAAATAAGGCTAGCGGTACGACGACTGAGGAAGTTCTATCCGAAACAACCGAAGACTCAATTGAAATACCGATCACTAAACCCCAAACTAGCGCGAGTTCTGAGGAACCTGAGGACGAAATCTCCGAGGAAAACGCAAACAGCGCAGGTCGAGGGGACCACGACGGTTTAGAGAAGGTACCAAGGACCAGTCTGACACCAGACGAAGTCTGGACATCGGCAGAGAAATTCGAAGCCAGTCTACGTCGACGTAGGAGCTTGGACAACGTATCGTACTTTTGGGACGAGTTGGGTCTAGCCCAAAATAACAAAACCATAGAAATGCCTTCTCATTTTTCAGACGGTGATGAACCGCTTCCAGAAATACAGGAAACACTATAGGAACTCGACTCATACGACGACGAAAACGAGACTAATGAAGAAATGGCTGGACGAATCAGAAAATTGGTGGAAGAATCTCAAAAGGTCGTTGCCTCTCAAATTGAACAGAGTAGTGATAGCAATGAAGAGTATCCAAGCAAAATCAACAAAGAGAACCGTGACGAGGTGGCGGAAGTGCCGCGTTATAGAGAAATTCCAGTGACTCCGAGCATTAAGGTAGGAGCACCAACTGCCAAAAGTACGCCCATGGTTCAGGGGCGACGCCCTGTAGTGAAATTCAAGGGACTAAACGCTATCACTGAGGAATCGGCTACGAAAAATGAAACGCCGGTAGAATTACACTTTTCACAAGCACCCGTAGAGGATGAATTGTTTCTCATGGTACCCCCACCCTTGGGATCATTAAATCAATATAAAAGACCAGAAAATTATCGAAATCCGACTTCTAGTACCGAGGGTACTAGCGGTAATTAAACGTTGGGACCTGCGAATTATATCCTTCAAAATAATGTGAGCACGAGCCAACAGTGTTTGACTTATAAGAGGGATAACATTGTTCATTTTATTTCACGGAATTGCGACAATAAGACCTCCGTCTCCAAGCTATTAGAGGAAATCGGAGCGATAGATTTACGGAACATGAAGAATCAAAAGCCTAAAATTGGACAGATTTTAACAACCGAGTACAAAAGAAATACATCTTCTCAACTGTCGTTAAGGACAAGTACCACGACTCCACTAGTATAGAAGCCATTAAAATAGGGTTAATAAATTTAAAAAAATTGCTCCTGCAGAAAAAACTGAGCAGTTTTCGTATAGCTCGGAGAGGAGATTATTCTGATGACTTAGGGCCCGGACTATTAACCGAAATCTTAATAAGAATATTCAAAAACAGTCCTGTAAAGGTTACAATTTGCTATGGTAAATCCATTATACCCCCAGTGGACGACAGAAAAGAGATTATCCGAACTTTACATGATAGTCTTGTTGGAGGACATAAGGGAGTCAATCAAACTTATCAAAAGATAAGGGCTCGGTATCATTGGACTGGACTACGCAATGATGTGCTGAATTACGTCAGAAGATGTCCAAGATGCCTTGAAAAAAAAATTGAGCGACATAAAACGAAAGAGCCAATGTTAATTACAGATACGCCGATAGAGGCGTTTGATAAAGTATCAATTGTTACTGTAGGAAAGCTCCGGACCACTCCTGGTGGAAACTCTCACCTGCTGACGATGCAATGCAATCTGACTAAATACTTAATTGTAGTGCCGATAAAGGACCTTAGAGCAACCACTATCGCTGACGCCTTAGCCAGACACTTAATATGCCAATTCGGTGCCCCTAGAGCAATATTGTCAGATCGAGGTACCAGTTTCCTGTCGGAAATTGTAGAATCGCTTTTACACCTATTCAAAATCCATCATTTAACCACTTCCGGTTATAGGCCCCAGACCAATGGGTCACTCGAAAGGAGCCATGCACCCTTGATAGACTTTATACGTATATATTCAGAGCGGTTTGACGATTGCGACCGTTTGAAGCCATTCGCGGTTTTTACATATAATACTAGTATCCATAAAGTGACCGGTTATACCCCGTTCGAATTAGTATATGGACGAATTGCTAGATCCCCGATGAAAATACCGCGAGAAGAAAAATTACGAACATACGACCAATATTTGAAAGATCTTGTTTTACGACTTACCGAATTAAAGATAGCGGCCGGCGAAAATCAAATACGCGAGAAAATCAAATCAAAAGAGCGGTATGACAGACATTCTAACACGTTCAACGGGAAGGTAGGAGACTATGCATGGGTCCTAAATGAACCACGAATAGGCAAGGCCGATAGTTACTACAAACGACCTTTGAAAATTATCGAAAGGGTCTAGCCAGGTAAGATAGGGAAATCTGCCTTTGAACGGTGAGGGAAACGGAATATACCCTTTCATTCCTCATGTATAGAAACCCCTTTTCCCAAATTTTCAGACCCCTAGACCCCAGGGGGGCCGGCTGAGACGTAACTATACGCTTTTCAGTTTTTTAACGATATCTCAGTCAATTTTGAAGCTAGAAAAAAAACAAAAAAACCAAATTGTAGGATTTTTTGAGCCCCACAAACCTATGTGACTCAAAAAATTTTAGCGGGAAATTCAAATTTTCACAGCTTTTTGAAAACTTTAAAAATTCGTATTAAAAAAACAAAGACCGACTCACCGTTGAAAAAAATATATCTTACGTATTTTTTGCACAAAAATGCCTGTGATTTTTTTCAGATTTTTAAAAGTGGTGGAACGACCTTGAAAAAAATAAAAATCTCTAAAAAACACCTTTTTTCGACTCTAGCTCCTTATATATCAATTCTATGCTGAAATCGACTACGCCATCGTATTTTACGCAAAAAAATACATCGGAAACGTATATATATTTTTTTTTTCTAGGATTTTTGCATCCCTTTAATAATTCGCCAAGTAAAGTTGATCGGACCGGCTCGCAATGTTTGAAATTATTGTTAGCTTAGAATGTAATTTAAAAAAAAAGTAATATATACTTATACTGTTCCTTTTTACATGGAATACGATGGAGCAATTTGTTCTATCGTTGAACTTACCCAGAAAACATTGGAAGTAAAAAAATTATGTATTTGGCCGCTGACGCTTTGTAGAGAGATTTTACTATGAATCCGTTTGCGTCATCATATTTTTTTTACTATATTTGAAGTTCATGTTTGTGTGTACTCAATAAATAATAAGAGGATGAATAAAGTAGAAACGAATAAATTATTATTCAATAATATAATATTTAAAAAAAATAAAATTAGCTATATAATTATATATAATCTGTGACCACGCTTCGAATGTTAATCATCATCGCTATCTTCTTCGATAGAAGTAACCACATGATCTTGTTCATAAATCCTTGTGAGATGTTCAGCAGGTTTAACAATGCAGGATTGAAATCTAGCATACGCTAAATAACAAATAACGGCAGCCACGTGAGAGCAGCAACCGATTGTTTTCATTCCATTAGCACACTCACAGCAAAAACGGACTATACCGGAACAGCCAATAGTATTGGGTTTGTACTGGATGTAGCAGTTATACGTCTTACTTTCGATGTGTCTCGATCTAACTCGTACTTTCAGAAGATCAGCAGATTCTTTGAAATAACTAACATTTATCTCATTATTCTCGCCCAGCATTTCAGCTAAGTAGGATATGGCTTGTTTGAGTTGATACGTTCCACTGTATAGTTTTACTAAATCCTGCTCCGTCATTTCAGGAAAATCTTGTAAGTCAGCAGACGTCAACTTTTGGAATAAGCTTTTCCTTCGATTATACTTTTCTAAAATCACTTCTGTGGCTAGGCAATTTTCATTGGAATTTCTGTTAAGTATATAATTCAGTACTTCGTCATCTGTAGCAGCTCTTGAGATAAGTCGTTTACCAAATTGATTTATTAAAAAGCAAACTATTCTGCAATAGAGATCAGCTTCGGGTAAGTAACGGTTGTCCAATTGCTGATGAAAGAACTTGTACTTCTGAGCTACATTACCATGAACAGCTTCCACAACCCATCGAAGCATCGTTACAAGTCGAGATTTATTCGAATCTTCCGCGGATAGTTGTTTAAGATTTCTATCTTTCAACGCTGGCATGAGAACCCTGTACCCATCACTTTCTAATTGCGATACTATGTCACGAAAGACGCGATCGAGAATAAAAACATCATCCTTTTTGCGCATCGGCTTCTTCAAATCGCTGTCATTCGCGTTTAAAATTTTTTCCAGAATTTTTGCATCATTTTCTTTAGCATAAAAGGATCCTAGTACATCTACGATATAACCATCCGTCGTACATATAGTGAACGGCTTGCACAGAGGAACTTTTTTATGCCCTGAAAATGATCTTCGTTGGTATTCGTTCTTTGAGCTTTTCTGGTGCTTCCAATAAGTTCCATCGGCAACTAGCCCAAGGTTATCATCACTAAGATCATGAAGATTTTGAAGTAGCACTGTCGAATGATTTTTAATCAAATCATCTCTGTCGATGCTTCTCAAACCAAAACGTGAAGGCAATATGTCTCTTTCAAAAGAACTCAAAACAGATTTTGAAAATTCCGAGACTTGTTGATGACGATCAAGGCCAAGGACAGAGCAAATCATTTCATTGGAATTTCCAGTTCTCAATCTAAATAAAAAAACAACGAATGCCTGCGTAACTGTCCGATTATCAGTATTCCTCAGGGAAACTGCCATTTCGCGTAATTCTATGATTTGTTCCCAATTGAGTCCAGTAAAGGTTTTAATTCTATCTTCAGAGATAGTAAAATCACCGATTCTATCGTCTAATTCTCTGTCGGATGTTACACTTAGAGCTTTGAATAGCTTGGCTACATCTGCAACTGTTACATTGCTCGAGTGGAATATCGGTTTCAAGTTCAGTAACTCATCATTATAAAACTTTTTCATTATCAAGTGCTTACGACAACAGCGGTTACCCTCTGGGATAAATATCTCTCTTTCAGTAAGGGCCTGCCGCCGAGCTTCGAAAGGAACAACAATAAGTCCTGATTTAAGTGAACATAAGCAACAATAATCATGAGTGGAAACTACTCTTTTCAAAGGTAACTGAATAAATTCTTGTTCAATAACTTCTTTCTTAATTGGGCTATACCTTGGATCAATTTTGCTTTGTTGCGATGACTCAGATGCAGTTGATTCTTGACTGCTGGATTGCGGAGTATTTTCTTTGGCTGGCGCTTCTTCGACTTTTCGTTGTTTTGACTTTGCAAAACGAGTGGCGCCTCCATATTTCTGACATAAAGTATCTCCAACTACGACTGTCGTAGCAAAATAATCGGACAGAGCAATAGCTTCATCCTCTGTATCAACTCTTGTCTTTTTCCCGACCATCTTCTTCTTCGATAAACCGCAGTTCGGACATTTATCATTAACACTTGATGTAGACATGGTATAGTCTGGACCTGGAATAAACGACTTTATCAATTATCCAATTAATGATTAATACACACACACACACACACACACCCACACCCACACACACACACACACATATACATACACACACACATATATATATACATATTATGTATTAAGTATTATAATATAGAGTAGATTAAAGGATAAAGAATGAAAAATACATTTGGATCAGCTGGCTCACAGGTTGGTATTATTTGTTGATTATCACAGAAGCATTTAGAATGTCAATATATTGAATTTATTTATCAAAGTTACGTCCAAATATTAATTTAGTTCAACATGATGGAGGGCTTCAATTATGATTCTGTTGTGGTCGGTTACTAAATTAGCAGTGTATGTTATGCTAATAATGTACTCGGGTAATCCATGTGATATTGAATAATGAGTGTGATACAGACGGAAAGTCTAAAGAGATCAGTGGGGCAAGTTTTACCAGTGGAAAATACTTGTTTTTGGTTGTCAAACTTATGTTCCAAGTCCACGGAAAATTTATTTTTTGACCGAACCCATATGGTCTTCGACTGGGTAGCTTATTAATTTTTTTTTTTTTTTTTGAAAAAAAAAAAATGAATCAGCTGGGAACCTAAGACCCAGAAAGAAAGAACGTATACCTCTTCGGCGATAACCACAGGTTTCTATACCTATTAAACAAATACAGTTCTATTTATCTTTCACAAAAATAGACAGAAACATTATCACGCTTATAATTGAATGAAAACAATAATTTCTGGTGCTCTCTATTAAATAAAGAAAATCTTTTATCGATATTCTCAATTGTAAACATAACAACTCTGTCATGTTTAGCTGCAAATCCAACCTAGCCCAATCCAGACTTCATTTGAAATTAAATTGTATTCACGCAAGAATACATTGATCAAAAATGAAATTATACTCACATTTATTGCAGAACAGTAACAATCAACTAGCTTTCCCCGTAATTAATCACAGACGGGTTCGTTGTAGGAAGGTTTGCTTCGTCTCTGTTTCGCATAAAACAGACGCCGGTTTGTCGGGTTTGTTTGATGTTTAGGGTGTTCACGGAACGATTCTGACATTCATAAGGTGACACGAATTCCGACATATTATATAACATGTACATAAAACGATATGTTCAAGTCTTTAAAGGCTTAAAATGTTAAAATTGGGTAGATTTTATTATGAAGAAATTGCGTCATTCTAGTCTACGTAAAAATAAATACATTGGAAACATGAATGACTCTTTTGAAAATGATTTTTATGCCAATCCACATGTACAAGCAAAAGTGTCCCACCTGGCGGCGAGTGATCGAAGGTATGTGGCGAAATATTGACGGGATGCAAAATTCCTAGAAAAAAAAATATATATACGTTTCCGATGTATTTTTTTGCGTAGAATACGATGGCGTAGTCGATTTCAGCATAGAATTGATATATAAGGAGCTATAGTCGAAAAAAGGTGTTTTTTAGAGATTTTTATTTTTTTCAAGGTCGTTCCACCACTTTTAAAAATCTGAAAAAAATCACAGGCATTTTTGTGCAAAAAATACGTAAGATATATTTTTTTCAACGGTGAGTCGGTCTTTGTTTTTTTAATACGAATTTTTAAAGTTTTCAAAAAGCTGTGAAAATTTGAATTTCCCGCTAAAATTTTTTGAGTCACATAGGTTTGTGGGGCTCAAAAAATCCTACAATTTGGTTTTTTTGTTTTTTTTCTAGCTTCAAAATTGACTGAGATATCGTTAAAAAACTGAAAAGCGTATAGTCACGTCTCAGCCGGCCCCCCTGGGGTCTAGGGGTCTGAAAATTTGGGAAAGGGGGTTTCTATACATGAGGAATGAAAGGGTATGTTCCGTTTCCCTCACCGTTCAAAGGCAGATTTCACTATCTTACCTGGCTAGACCCTTTTAAATCGAAAAAATATTTTATTAGAATACCCGAATGGAAAGAAAGTACGCAAACACGTGGATAAATTGAAATTGAAACATTGACTATATACTATTTAAACTTGATCTTTTAAGGCCATAAATCTACACTTACTATCTCGTACCTTTCAGAAGTTCTTCCTTTCCAACATGCAAAACTTTCTCCTTCTTCTCCTGAGCTCTTTACTCGCATTATCTCTTACGGACCCCAAAGCTTACACGATAGAAAAATTAAGCCAAAACCCAGGATTATATTATAAAAGATTGGACCCCATGAGAATAAAAAGAGCGGATTGGAAAGTATATATTACGGTTGACACGAAGTACTTCTTGGCAAGGACAACCATTATACATGATTTTCATACAGTGCCGCTTACGCACTTTTACCCCCCCACGGGCACAATCAGTCTAACTTCAAAGTTTTATATCCCTGGTAGAAATTAACGTACAGAGACGCGCGTGGGTGCGTTTGAAAGGTCTTTCGGAGTGATTTCAAATGATATGATTCACGGTTGCCATCGATTGTTTTTTTAAATTTTGCAACAATTATACAAAATTGAAAATTCTGAAATTTTTTTATTATTTTTGACAATTAGCCAATTTTGGAAAAAAAATAGTACGAAAATTTGAAGTACACCATTTTTTAGCTATTACCAAGCCCTATCTGAATCACTCATCAAAAATTTATTTTCGTCAAATATGACGCGCGCACGGGCATTTTTTCCTGGAAGTGACAGTTTTTTTCAACATTTTTTATCTCCATCAAATTGTAACAATTGAAAAAAATGTATAGGAGAAAAAATGTTTGTTTTTTCACGTAGAATACTGCAATAATTTTTTTTTTGGTTTTTCGAAAAATTTTTTTTTTCGGTTTTTTTCAATTTTTTTTTCTCACAGTCGGTACGCTAAAAAGATGAGAAACCACAAAAAAAATTTTTTTCCACCCATTCAATAATACTACATAACAAGTATCGTAAATTACATAAAAAAAAAAATCTTTTTTTTTTCGACCTTGAAAAATAATTTAAACCGAAAAAAGAAATTTTTCGAAAAACCAAAAAAAAAATTATTGCAGTATTCTACGTGAAAAAACAAACATTTTTTCTCGTATAAATTTTTTTCGATTGTTACAATTTGACGGAGATAAAAAATGTTGAAAAAAACTGTCACTTCCAGGAAACAATGTCCGTGCGCGCGTCATATTTGACGAAAATAAATTTTTGATGAGTGATTCAGATAGGGCTTGGTAATAGCTAAAAAATGGTGTACTTCAAATTTTCGTACGATTTTTTTTCCAAAATTGGCTAATTGTCAAAAATAAAAAAATTTCAGAATTTTCAATTTTGCATAATTGTTGCAAAATTTAAAAAAACAATCGATGGCAACCGTGAATCATATCATTTGAAAGCTCTCCGAAAGACCTTTCAAACGCACCCACGCGCGTCTCTGTACGTTAATTTCTACCAGAGATATAAAACTTTGAAGTTAGACTGATTTTGTCCGTGGGGGGGTAAAAGTGCGTGAGCGGCACTGTACATTACTTGGGAATTGCACCAAACGCCTAGATGGAATGACCTGTAACAACATGTTAAACAAAGATATTTTGGATATGAAAGAGCTCACGCTTCAACAATTACAAGCAGAAATTATTGAATCAATCGGAAACATGGGAAACATCCAACCACCCAGGGTTCGGGGCCCGGAAGCATCAGGAACAAAAGACTAATACCATTCGGAGGAAGCTTAAGCCACAGTTTATTTGGATTGGTAACTGTGGACGAAACGAATAAAATAGACTCAAACATCGATCAATTATACCAAGACCAGAAATCGTTAATCAATCTCTTTAATACAAGGACACATATTATTACCACGGGAATAAACAAATTATTCAAAATGATAGACATACATGGTGACAAAATCTTTCACCCAGATGCAGCAGAAATTCGAAAAATTAGAAAGTGAAAACGCACGCTTAGAATATATGATTCCTGTACAATCTTTTGGAAGAATGTTGGAATCTAGATTAGATTAATTCATTAAAGGTTCAGAAAGATTTCTAGAAATTCTCCGCGCATTAAAGGAAGGAAAAGTGTACCCAGATTTAATAGACACTGATGTGCTGCATAAAATAGTTAATGATTATCAAACATACTGTAATGGACCTCGAGTTTCCCATTCCAACGGAGCATCTCAGAGTGGAAGAAGTTGTTAGAATTTCAAAAATCGATGCATCGCATCGCGAAGGAAGGACATATATAGTGGTGCACTTGCCCCTTGTGGACAGAAATTACTACAATTTATATAGGTTTCATTCTATATTAGTACCACAATTATCGATCTCTAAAAAAAGGTCGGCATACATAAAATATAATTACCCTTACTTAGCCTTGAGCTCGGATCAAAAACAATATATGCAAATGGACCATCAATCTCTATTAGATTGCATTCGAACTCACTACACCTTTGTATGCTCAGTAAAAGGACCCCTTCTAGATGTTAATCTAAATAAGAATTGTGAATTAAGAATGCTAATACAACCATCCAACCATGAGCTATACCATTGTGATATAGTACTGAAAAGTAAAGAAACGAGGCACTGGAATTATATTTCGATGGACGGGTCGTGGATTTTCTCTGCTCATCAACTGGACACTATACGAATCGCTTGTCCGGACCGAATGGACCAGATGATCCACATACAAGGGCTAGGGATACTCAAAATCGCCCCAGGCTGTATTGGATACTCGAGTGACGCGACTCTGCTAACAGAAGCAAAAAAGAATGACACGAACATTTACCTATATAAACCAAATTTGAACCTCAATTTAACGACTCTATATACTACCATACATCTCTTATTCGATTCAGATATAAAATTAGAAAAATGGGTCCCGCAATCTGGCATGTGGACTAGCCAGGAAAAAGCTTTAAATGATATTATGGAGAAGGCAGAAACTATAAGTCAACACAATAAAATTACTACCTATCAATCCGGACTGATCTACGGAGGACTAAGTATCAATATTATTACGATAATGTTACTAATTGCACTTGCGTATAAATGGT